TATAAATATTACTATAAAAGTCTACCCTCCTTCAATCTGGTTTTTGGGTCTTCTTTTTGGTTGTTCGGGTTTGGGATCTCGGGTTGATCATTTTTTTTATAATTGGTCACATATAAAATGTTTTTATTTATCGGCGTTTTTGTTTATTGGAAAGTTTTAATTCACTTTTAAGTCCTTTTTGGAATAGAATGTTTGTTTCTTTTTATTATCCTTTTAGTGTGTTTTAATCGCGAGCCCCACGTTAGTCGGCAATTAACCAATTAGTAACAACTAATTGGAAAAAAAAATATATGGGAGTTCAGATGCTTCAGATTTATTTGAAGCCTAAATTAGAACTAAAGTACAATTGTGAACTTATGCTGCAAGTCAGCTATGTTTATGCTTATATAAAGCTTATATTAAATGTAAAGCTTATTTTCGTAAAGCTCATAAGCTCGCGAGGGCGGCTTTCGTAATAAAAATATTAATGATTATAGCTTTTTTTATGTTTGGAATTGCGCACGAAAACCTGGATCTTTAGTTTAAGTTTAGGAATTGCGCACGAGAATCTGAATCTGTAAGTTAATGGGTTGCGCTGCTATGTTTATGTCTGTTATGTTTATGTTAGAGCCGAGAGTCGAAACGGGTCTAAAAAGGGTGAACGAGCTAAGCAATTGAAATAGAGAACTTTTCCGAAACATTGTTTATGATTTCAATAAGAATTGTTTTGCAGGCTGGGTGATAACTTGCATATATGCACATGTTACCGCAACCACATTAGAACCTCAGCTGATAAACATGCCTACAACTTATTTTTTTTCTCATGAGCTTTTGCCCAGAAATTATGTTGTGTTGAGCTTTCAAGATAATATGCACAGCTGATAAGCATAGCGATTATCCAGCATAGATACACATACATTTTATTTTGTTGACATGCCATCTTTTTGATTTATGATGATCGTTAGTGAACACACAAAACTATACAATTTCAAATATAATTTTTTCTTGTTTTGCTTGGCTCATTCTCTTTGTAATTATTACCTAAACTTAAGAAATCTTTGTAAAAACATGAATTCTAACTTGTACTCTTATTTTACATTATAATTTTATTTCGAGAATATTAGTTTGAGCAAATCATGTACAACCTGGATACCTTGATGAATTCGTAGAAGTATGTAATATTAATTTACTTAACTTATTTTCGTTTGTTTTTTTTTATAAACGACCTCTTACTTTAAGCGTTGTAGACAGACTGCTCTCACACTCTATATCAGCATATAACATTTATTTCTTTATCGATATCTACTTATCATTCAGTTATAATTAACATAGAAAACGACACTATAATAACATAGCTAGGGCTACCAATGATGATCTTATCCTATTACAATATAACTTTTTAATGCTTATTGACTATTTTCGCATCCAATGGCTAAAGTTTTGGCTATTCCAGACACCAACATACGAGTCACGAGATAATTGAAAATCTTTTACATCCTTTAACAAATATCTATCATTTTCAAAAAATTTGTTCTATCCTATAAGGTCCTTTTTTCTTGGTATTAACTTCTTCGAAACTCCTGGGGTGCTATCAACATTTTTTACCATGACCTATTTTATATTCTACTGATTCTTTATTCTTTTTATTAATGCTCTCTTCATTTCTGGCTTCAGCTTCATTTTGACATATTTCTGCACTCTCTTATATTTAATAAATTTCTGGTATCAAACGTGTTCACCTGTGTTAATTCTTCTAATTTGTCTTTTAATTTATCAACAACTTTTCCTTTCTGTGGTAATCCGAATAACATTTCGCTTGGAAATTTTTTTATACTTTTGTGTTGTGTGTTATTTATTGCATATTCAACATTTTCCATAATAACATCCCAATGTAATCCCTTTTCTGGCTCTGCCATCTTTGCCATCATCGGACCCAAATCCTTATTTCCACCTGACCATTTGCTTGCGGGCATCCCGTAGCAATTTTAATACGTGTTACTCCTTCATTATTTAAAAATTCTTCAAAATCATTTGCAGTAAAACAACTTCCTCTATCCGATATAATGAACTTATAAATTGGTCTGTAATGGTGTATATAGATCATTTCCTATGGTTTGTTTCCTTTCGTTATGCTATGTAAAAGTCCTTCACTGTTACCCGCCCCGGGGCGAACGCAATGCATTTTAAACAATTCCCTACATCCTTTATTGTTTTTTCCTTCATATGCGGGAACCAATAACTCTTTCCAATAGCATCAATCATCTTATCTCTCCTTGCATGGCTCAGCTCATTATGTAATTTATAAGCGACATTTCTTCCATATCCGTTAGTACATAAAAAACTAATCTGCTATAATTTGTCTTCCTGTAAATGACCCCATTTCTCATTTCAAATAGCTTATGCTCTCCTTTCTCTAATAGCTTTCTTATATCTACCAGATTTTCATCTTTGCCTTGGCAAATTACTAAATAGTCCTCAAAACTATTATATTCAATAACTAAAATATCCTCATAACATCTGCTTAACGCATCTACATGTTACATTTGCTTGCGTCATCTATGAGCTAACTTAAAATCATAAGTTAGTAGTTCTACATCTAGCAATTTTCGGATTTAAATCTACTTTGAACAGGATGAATTTTGTTTGGTATTGGAAAGTTTTTTACCGATTCTAATCCTTTTTCATCAGCCCTTACGCCTTTACTATCCACCAAAAATCATAAATATTTAACGCTACTTTTAAGAAATTCACACATCTAATTTCAACTCTAATTTTTTTTGAACCAGTCTTATAAAAACTTCCTTGTGTTCCTTTATATTCATTCTGGCTATCATAATATCATCCATATAAACAATTACTTTATTATCTCTAATAATATCTCTTCTAAAATCAATACAGTTTTTTTCCTCACTAATACTATATCCGATAGTCGTCCAATAATTCTTGTAACTTTGCTTTTTCCATATAAGATAACTGTTTAGGTGTACAAATAAATACCTTGTCATTTTCTTATGCTTAGCTCATGTTTAATTTTTGGGTTGATTTGGCCTTTTTTCTTTTAAATAAGCATTTTCAAATTCACATTTTGTGCTATAATCAATATCTTTACTTAAAATATATGTACTTGCTGTTTTATTAGAATCTCCACAACTTATTGTTAAAATATCCCTATCAAAATTCTCTTCTAACACTCCAATCCTATTGATTTCACTATTTTCCGGAGCTTCACTAACATGATTATTTATTTCTACTGCCCAGTTTAACTATAAATAATTTCATCACTAAAAACCTTATCTTATGTTGGATTTGGCGACCTTTCCATTTTATAATTATTTGTTTTAAAAAGAAAGGTCGCCAAATCCAACATTAAATACCAACGGAAGGCACGCCGTAAAAATGTATACGTATGTGTACGTAAGTTATGCGAGAATAAGAACTAAGTACAAAGAATCCAGATAAACAATTAACAAATTTCAAATTACATTGGTAAAGTTAGTTAAACTAAAATCTAGTTTAAAATTCTCTTTAAAATGCAGAAAATCAAATCTAATACCTAATTTTATTAAGAACTTGACCAAACAATTGTTCATACTGACTCCTGACAACACACTTCAGACAAACACACTTTTCCATGCCAAGATACCATACCAAGATTAATAGTTTCAATACTAACCAACTTTATTGATTACTTTTTCATCTCATCACTAAGAGTTTAGGTGCTAACAGTTTTATCAGTAACTAAATCATCACTAACAGTTTCATTACTGACTATTTCATTATTACGACATCATTCAAAAATATAGCTTGATTCTGCTCGTGTTTGATAACTTAATCTTCGCCTACCTTTCTTTATTTCACCTTGTAACTGGTAGCTATGTTATCATCTTTAACATGATTCTGATATTCAACTTTATCCACATTCACAAGTTTTAATTTTCTTAAATCAATATTTAAATCAAAAGTATTGATGTCCTGCGTCAATATGTTTTTTTCGCTAAAGTATGTGGCGAACACCTCATCTGGTTTCCAAAGCCGATCCTCAAACTTTTTTCGTAGCTCCGACTTCGAAAATCCTCCACCGAAGGCCAAAACTAATTGGTTTACCATCTGGTCAATCGGAGCAATGATGTGCATAGGGGTGCATGCTACCACTTCAAAGCACCACCTTTCAATTTGCTTATACAAAGCAAATGCTGTTGCATCTCATTTTGCCTGTAGATTTTGGTCACATCGGAGAGTTTCATTACCCATTTACGCACCTCACTTTCCCCAGAAAATTCCAATAAGATTTCCTTGGCTAAGAACATCGCTCCAGTTTGAAAGCAAGCACTTAAGCTGCCGCCGACAGCGTTGCCAATTTCGTCGATTCTACCAATTTTCAATGTGACCATCTTCTACCTGCAACAAATCGCATGCAAATTACGGTGAACAACAACAGGAGAGGCAGGAAAGTAATTTCCTCTTTTCTTTCAAGAATTTTCGAGACGCGTCAATTTCGAGATGCATCGGTTTCAGCAACTCGGCGCCATTTGTTATTTCTTCACGCTGCTGTTGTATTGTGTTTTTCAACTCATTTTGGGCCACAATTGTTTGCTCTTTGTCCAAGTTCCTCTGCAGCAACGTCTCGCATTTGCATTGGTACTTGATTCAATCTCGCCATCAGCTCTGTTTTTGAGCCCTTTGCTGGCAAATTTAATAATGCCAACCAACTCTTCAACGTTGCTATTAACACATCCTTTATATTTATTTTTTCCATTTTGAAGAGTTAATCCCACATCTGATATTGTAGCAGTATGTAATATTAATTTATTTAACTTATTTTCGGGCAGTCTCTTTTTACAAACGTCCTGTTACTTTAAGCGCTGTAAACGGACTGCCCTCTCACTCCATATCAGCAGATTCTGGCTTCTTATCGATTTAACATTTATTTCCTTATCGATATCTACTTAGCTGATGTTATAATCAACATAACATAGATAGCGACACTGTAATAACATATGTAGCTAGGGCTACCAATGAGATGATCTTATCCTAACACAAATTACAGTATAAAAACCTGAAATAAATCAGTGCTAGAGTTATTTTGAGGCTCCTTTAGCATCGAGCACCACAGGCTGTTTAGATGTTTAAAGTAGAATCATTAGCAATCTACATGGCAAGGCGGGTATATAGAAAGAGGAGCTTTAACATCTTAATTCTTCATCAACTACTGGTTCACTTTCATTGCTTATTTTGGTTTATGAATTCCTATCCCTTTTCTTTGTTCACAATGACGACTACGTCCAAAAGACCACAAAAACCAACCCCTCTGGCAGGGCCGGACCCCTTTTTAGACAGTGCTATGTAAAATTTACTTGTGTCCGTTAAAAAACGTATTAAGTAAACATTCATTATTATCGACGCACAATTAACATGGTTGATTCAGGGAGCGCTATCACCAGCTGCATACATATTTTTCAATTAAGCGAAAACTTATGTATATTGTATCAAATATGCCATCGGCCGAGGTTACATGCTTGAAAGTTTCCTTCGCTTTAAATAGTTCATTTTTTTTTTGGACACCGGCCAATGTTGCTGGCAGCAGTAGCGCACAACCGAAAATATTATTTTCTTTGATTTAGATCCGTAAAATACACAAGACGCAGATCGACATCGAGAAAATTTGTTGAAGGTAGGCTGGCGGCTGACTTCGTTGCTCGTATCAGCACCATCATTCGTTCCTGTGGCGTTTGCTGAACGAAAAAACACTCGTCTGGTGACGCACTTAAAGTCTGTGCATGCATGCATTTTTGGTAAATTATTATTGATCATTTAGCGTAAAAAGGGTTCCCAGAACCTTCCTCCTGATATTTCTGAAATTATCATTGTAGTTACCTATCACATAAGGTGCACGTTAAAACGGGATTTCGAAAAATTCCACCCTCATGTGTGGGAAAATCGCGAAAAACGTTTGTATGAAACTTTTTTGTTTACCATACTTCAATTAATTTCCAAGGATATATATGAAAAATCATTTGAGACGTGCTTCACATTTTTCGCAAAATCAAACCTTCCTCGGTGGAAGATGCCAATCAACGATTTTTTTTGGTAAAGTTTTAAGTTTTTCGCGATTTGCTTCAAACTTATTTCAAAAGCCCTACATAAGAACTTAATAAATAAATACGTGTTTCAGCGATTTGCGGAAACTTCACCTGCAACAGTGGTAAATTGGCGGAAAACGGTTGTATGAATGTTTTTTGTTTACCTTTTTTTTGTTTGCAGGTCAAAGATTGAATGAACGAAAGTTTATTTTACTGCTTTAATCTTCACACAATCATAGATCCAACTTTTGGTTCTTTATTCGTTGGACTGCAAACTCATTTTTGAGTATCAACTTCAAAAGTGGAGGCAAAAATAAGTGTAAAATTTATGACTAAAGTTTTAAACAAAAAACTAAGACCGGCTGGTACTAGCTAGTACTAATATAAATTAGTAAATTAAATAATAATAATATAAAAATCACATATGTAAATAATTTAATTTAATTAAATCCAATAATTACACAAAGTCCTTGAGCACTAGGATCCAAATAAGAATTATATACAAATTAAAATACAAAAATATGTATATATCAACGATTAAGAAAAAACAATATAACTGTATATTCAAAATCCATTTTTGGAAGACTTCATTTCAAGGCACTTGATTTAATAGTGTCGAAAATCAATATACTTCTTCAATATACTTACTGGTCTTTTCGAATTAAAATATACTTCTAATATCTATTGATAACATCCAGGTCTGATAATAATTCTAGTTTTATTTTCAAATATGCTGAGTGTATGATAACATATATACCAAGGGTGCCGTTATATTTACTTTAAAGAGTTTAAATTGTTTTCACAAGTACTATAGGCAACACCAACGCCGAAACCAGAGCCCATCCATGCAGGCCACACACGTCTTCTAAAAAATATGAATGACATCACTGATCCAATAATAAGACCGCCACCTGTAAATAAAAAATATGTATGTTAGTATTTTGTAAAAGTTTACACTAACTGGCATTTCACGCCCTTGCCGTTCTAGATTTTATTGCTTCAAATTTTTGAAGCAAATTTGAAACTTGTATCCCACCCGTTCTAAATATTTTTTAACAGTAATATTTTAAAGTCCTCGTCTCAATTTATATTATAATATATATTAGATGTCCAATTGATTCTAAAGTCCATTAAATTCCCGCCCATTTTAGTGCCGTAATGTGCATGTTGAAGTCGCAAGTTTATGTAGAGCTACGAGTCGGAAGCTGATCTGAGGGAATTTGAAACAGGTCAAAGATGACCAGCAGGTAACGCCACTAAAAATGTCAGCTTCCTAGATCTCACGGGTTGGGCACGGCCCAGTGAGTTGATCACCAATCAGTCAGTCAGTTAGGACAAATAATTTTATATACCTCAGGGAAATAAGTATATGTGCATTTTTTTTCTCTCATTTCAACAATATAACTTCATGCTTTTTTATTTAAAGTATACCAGGTTTTGTTGTTGCGTGCTATATTTGTTTTCTGTATGCCAAAGTCTTCTTTACTGTTCATCTTAGGTACCGTTGTCACTGAATTGTGTGACGCGTCGTAATTTTCATAGGAAATAAGTATACAGTTTGTCAAGTAATTGTTTGCAAAATTAAAAACATCACACAAATTAATTTTTAAGCTTATATTTTACGTGTTTACAAGAGAATGTAGCGACGTGGACACATAATTAAATATTTAAAATATTTTTAAGACGACATGTCGATAATTACGGTAATATTAGAAGACGGTAATATTAGAAGACGGTAATGTAGAAGACGAGTCCATCAAGTTTTAGCGGAAAACAAACATTTCATATGCTTCTCGAGAGCCTGTACCCAAGCTAATGAAACGACACATACATATGTGACCGTTTGGCATTTGCCAAAAAATATACATTTTGGACACATTTCCTATTATTTCCCATTCCTCTCTCCTTCCTGCTATAAATGCTTTAAAATCTTCTTACTCTCCTAGGCCTGACAATAATCCTAGTTGTCTACTCAAGGAGTGTAGTTCATCCCTTTTTCGTCCATTGCTAAAGCTTTTTAATCTATCCCTTGAATCTTCTGTCTTCCCATCTGTTTGGAAAGAATCTTATATCATTCCTCTCCACAAGAAAGGTGGAAAGTCTGATATACAAAAGTACAGGGGCATTGCAAAAAATAAACACTGCGAATTTGCAGCATTTCTGCATATCAGTTGTCTCCCCTGTTCCACAGGGATTCGTAAAGAATCGGTCAACTACGACCAATTTGCTAGAATTTACTTGGTAAATTATGCTTTCCTTTCTAAAAAATGCAAATTGATGTCATTTACACTGACTTCAGTAAAGCGTTTGACTCTGAGCACCATGATCTATTACTCTTCAAACTTGACCGTGTAGGTTTTCCTCCTCTTTTTTGCATTGGATTTCTTCTCATTTAAAAGGTAGGACCCAAAGAGTAATGCTGAGGATGACTACCTCAAAACATGTTCACGTTACTTCTGGTGCTCCTCAAGGTAGCCATCTTGGACCTTTACTCTTTACTCTTTTTATAAATGATCTCCCCTCGGTTATATCACATGCCCGGGTACTTTTGTACGCTGACGATGTTAAACTTATTCTATCATACACTAATCCCCTACACCATTCTCATCTACAAGATGATTTGAACGCTATGCAACTTTGGTGTTCGGCCAATCAATTGCATCTAAATTGTTCAAAGTGTATGTTTATGACCTTCACCCTATCGTTGAATACTGCTCTTGCATCTGGTCTCCGCAGTATAACAACAGCCAGGAACTTATTGAATATGTTCAAAAGCAATTTCTGCTTTTTGCCTTACGAGGTTTAAATTGGGACCCTAATCTTCGGTTGCCACCCTACTCCAGCAGGATTCTTCTTCTTTCTTGGTGTTGTCTTCCTACATAAGTTGATTGCTGGCGACATAGATTCTCCTTTTCTGTTAGGGCGTCTTCAATTCTCTGTTCCGTCTAGATCTACCAGGAATTATCGCCCTTTATTCCTATCTACGTGCACAACAGACTACGCTTTGCACAATTCATTTCGCGTGTTATGTAAAAATTACAATAGTTTGCATCCCGTTCTTTCTACCGAACTTTCTCTACTCCTAATAAAATCGTTGCTTTCAGGATACCTTCGGGAACTCACCGACCATACCCAGCTATGAGCAGGGGTATAGCTTGCAGGGCAGGCTATAAATTTTCCCCCCACCGGGTCGGTGATATCTCATTACTTCCTCTTTATCCTATCTACTTAACACACTACTACTTACTGGCATACATTTCATTACTTTGTTAACAACTTCTTATTTTCTTTTTTCCTATTTATTGTATTTTCTTAAGTAATATAGTAATTTAAGATTATTTTTAATTTTACTTAATAACACTATTTTCTCTACTAACACCCTTCTTCTTAGCTGTAGGCTCTAATAGCGTTACTGACAAAATTGGCTATGAAAAGGGGCACAGCTGGCCGGACGGGCAATTAAAACACTTCGGATGGCACATTTTGTTTTACATAATTTTAATATATTGTCTATGCACATATACTTGTTTCCCTGAGCTATAGAGATTAATATTCAAAATTTCACTTTCTACTTAACCTATATATAAGAGGCTAATTTACACTATCTTGAACACTAAGAAAATACCACTGTGGTAACTATTAACTTTCTCGAAGGTCCTCGTGCTAATGTGTTCACTGGAGAGATTTTAAAACACATTTTCATTTCGTATAAGAAATACATTATATAATAAAAATGTTAGTAGTCAACAAAATTTGACGTATAAATAAATATATATAGAGGCTCCAGTCATGAGTTCCCGACTAGGGGATACCCTGAACCCTCCAATCCAGCTCACGCTACGAGCTCATTTGCTTTAGCAGTAAAATATATATAAAACAAAACAAATAAGTAGTTCCCACAATAGGACTTGAACTCGTACCAGCCGCACTACTTGCCACCTTTTCTACTCGAAAGCCATACCAACATTTCATTTTCATTAATTCATTTTCGCACGAATTAAAATAGCAACACATAAACACAGCTCAACTCGTTCTTCTCTTTGAAGCGAACAAACGTTTTTTTTGTGCTCTCCGTTTTGTTTTGATTTTAATAAATCACCGGCGTTTTAATATTTCTATTTAACATATTCCATTATTCTGCTTGCCTTCTTGGTTTATTTTCTATTTAATCACGTGTGCATGATTTTGGCCTATGCATTTTATCATAAGAATATTGTTACTTTTAAATTCGTGTTCTTGTGCATTTTTGTTTGTGCGCTTGTGCTTTTAGCTTTGTGGGTAAGTTTCTTGTTGTTGTTTATATTTTAACTGCACATCGCCTCTCTTGGTGCAAAATTTCGTAAGCAAGCAAGCAAACTGTAAATAGATTACTCTATCGCTTGATCTTGATCTTTTTCTACTTTCCGCCGCTTGTTGGTGTTGTATACGCTAGTAATCTAAATAACTCTCTTTTTACATTTGGACCATAAAATTGTCTGCTTTAAAAAAACTTGCCAAAAGCAAATTACGGCAAGTCAATCGAGCATACCCTGTTGGCTATGTGATAATGTCGTGCATTCGAAATGTGCGGGTTACACTGGCCTAGTGTGCTATTGCCCAACGAAATGGTTTGCACTATAGTTGCGACTCATGTAGGGAGATTGATGGTGAAATGCGGGCGTTTATGCGTCAGATCAGGAATGGCTCTAGGGGTCTGATTCTTGATTTTCGCAAACTAAACGATCAGCTCACAACCCTGAATACCCAATTTAATAGCCTACAACTGTTGGATGAGTCTCCAGGGCCCAAAAAGACCACTCCTGGTGATTTGCCGTTGCCTAATACCATTCAGCATCCGGCTGCAATTCAGCAGCTTACTACACCGATCACACAGCAGTTCATCTCTTTTGTTACTCCGGTAGCTGTGAGGTCTGCTGTGGACAGGGGTTCTGTCCCGAAATGTGTGACACCGGCACGCGGTCCGGACTACCGGCTGTTTTAGGTACCAAAGCTAATAGTGTTCCCACTGTCCCACCTGTGGCGCCTAAGCCTCTAGTTGATGTTCCACCAAAGAGACATATTTTGGTTTGTAGGCTTGCCCCTCACTTTTCATGAGATGATGTAAAAGCCTTTATACAGGCTAAAATTCAAGCCCTAGGTATAATGGTGGAAAAATTTATGTTTGCCTATAAAAGAAATATTTCATCCTTTAAACAAAATTTGTTGTAGAGTTTTGGACGGAACAATAAAAATTCTAAAGAATATAAGGCCAGAAAGAAAAATCAGACTCTGGTTTTATTACCACCTGTTTCCAGGTGGTTAATTCTAAATTAATTTTTTGAGCTTGCCTATCAGAATGTTTGAGGTCTTAAATCTAAACTTAACCTGTACTTAGATTCTCTTTTTATTAACTTTCAAATTATGGCTTTTACTTTTACTGTCTGGCTTAAGCCGGACAACTCAGATGCTTCATTTGTTACCTCCAAATACTCCACTTATAGATGTGATCGATTGAGTCTGCTCTTTCGTCGGAACGCATGTTGGTGGCTGTAAGAGTTGTATTTGGAAGTTTATGTATCTTTATTTCATGTGCCTATATACCCCCTCTATCTAACTTGTCCATTTATCAAAGCCATCTTAACGATATTAAATCTACCTCCTGCCTACTTTCTGATAGGGACCTTTTAGCTTTTTTAGGGGACTTTAATCTCCCAAATGTCGATTGGTCATCGCCATTAGATTCAAACTTTCTGTTGCCCTGATCGTCAAACGAATTTATTGATGATCTATATAAAATGTCCTTACGGCAGGTTAATGGTGTGCGCAATTCAAGGAATGCATCTCTTGATCTGATTATGGTGATGGAATCCATCATCACAACAATTCGACATCCCTTTTCATCCAACTCTGGATGCGGATATTGATCTACCAGCCCGAGTTCATATCAAGGAATCGGAATTAGATGATCATGTCCATTTTTTTCGTAAGTCTGATTTTTATAAGCTAAATTATCTTATTCTGCAATCGATTGATCTCAACTGTACAATTGTGAAGACATTGATGTTGCTATTAAACTAGTTTATGATACCTTGCACTCGCTTTTTGATATCTGCGTCCCTCTCGATCACCCAGCGAGGTCGGATAGGCCTCCCTTAGGGGAATAGGATTAAAACATGTGAAGTCGACGTTTTATAAAAAATTTAACAAATCGGGACATCGTTTTGATTTCTCCCTTTATGCTGTTGCCCGATCAAATTTTTCTACTCAAAATTCCATCTGCTGCATGGATTACCATCGCCGTTGTCCCCTCCAATTTTCACATAATCCTCAGCAATTTCCTAACTTTGTCAATTCATAACGTAGACATCTATTTTGGTTTCTTCGGTTAAGTTTGCAGATGAGAGCGCGAATACTGATCCAGGCATTGTCGATCTGTTCGCAAACTTTTTTTAAACTACCTACTTCTCTAGGCATAATAAAAATCAGCTTTATCCTTATCAGTTACAGAGGTCAAACTGCATCTTAAATCCCATTATTACGGAAAGTTCGCTTCTCAGCGACCTTAAGGCAATAAAGATGGTTTATTTACCGGGCCCTGATGGTGTTCTAGCTTGTGTGCTCAAGTACTGTGGCAACACTATGTAAATCTGTTTTAAAACTTTTTGAATTGTCCGTTAACACTTCATCTTTTCGGACCATTTGGCAGGAATCATACATTATCCCTCTCCTTAAGAAAGGGAGTAAGTAGGATGTCGAAAACTATAGAGGTATTTTCAAATTATCCGCTATACCTAAAGCTTTTAGGAGAATCAAAACATCTCAACTACAACATTTATGTAGCATTATTATTTTACTTTCCCAGCATGGGTTCGTGAAGCGCAAATGTACAACCACTAACCTTCTTGAGTTTACTTTGCTTTGAATTGATGGGTTTACGAAAAGAATGCAGACTGACGTCATCTATAATGATTTTAGTAAGGCTTTCGAATCTGTCAACCACTCCTTACTGCTTTAAAAATTATACCTTCTCGGCTTTCCAGTCAATCTCTTGAGCTGGTTTTAAAAAGTATTTGCGTGCCTCTTAAATTTAAACTGCTCGAAATGTAAGGTAATGACTTTCTATAGAAGCCCTCCTCAATTGGTTTCTTACATCCTTGATAGCTTACCGCTCGTGCGTGTCAACAGTACTTGTAATGATGTCAATGATATAGGTGTTATTCTTGATCATAAACTTAAATTCGACTCTCATGCTACGACCGTGGTCAATAAGCCCAGAATTGTTTTGGGTTTTATCAAGCGAAGGTCGAAGGAGTTTGACGATCCGTACACGACAAAGACTATTTATATATCTTTGGTACGACCTATTCTTGAGTATGCCGCATGTATCTGGGCACCAGAATATTCTATCCATTAAGACAGAATTGAATCCGTTCAGAAACATTTCTTGTTGTTTGCCCTTCGTAGTTTAAATTGGGATTCTCGTGTGCGGTTAACGTCATA